GCAGCCAGGTCAGTGTTTCTTATTTACAGTTTGTTTAAAAAATGTATCACAGTATGAAGATGATCCATCCATTCACGTTTCTGCACCTACTTGCCCTGTCAGAGGGGACCAGTATGCACTGTACTGGGAAATATGTTTCTCTGCCTCCTACTAGTGCATACATGATAATAACATTACTGACCAGATCAACATCATTATATTATCTAAACACTTTACTTTTGTTATAATTTAGTTTATGTTTGCTGTAGGAATTTGTGGGGAAGTTTGTTTAAATTATAGCAACCTGAATCTGATAGTATGCAAACATCTTGTGTTAACTTTGTTCTCTTTCTCTGTTCTCTGAACAAAGAAATAATTGATAACTGTTCTAAGTAAATACAATTTAATATTCATTAATACAAATAAGAGATTAAATTCTGAAGACTTGAAAACAAAGTTTGACACAGGTTCGTCTGACTGACCAGTTTTGTTAATTGTCACTTTTCTTCCACAGATGTGACGGACGAGATGTTGGCCTTCTTCTTGACGCTGTTTCAGGCGTTGCGAGTCCAGATGGGTGTTGCCTTCACGGGGCAGATCATCCACACTTTCCTCAGCATGTTCACCAGGTAAAAAAAACAACACACTTTACATCACCAGAATGTGGATAAAGGTCTAAGTGGCACGGGGTAAAACACTGTTGGTATCACAAATTAATGCAATGTCACTCATGTGCTTCAGGGAACAGCTGGCAGCCAGTATTTTGCAAGAGGGCAGTGCAGGGTGCAGAGTGGTACAGAAGTTCCTGAAAATCTTGCAGGTGGTGGTGCAAGAGCCTGGTCAAGCTTTCAAACCCTTCCTGCCCAGCATCCTCTCTCTGTGCATGGAGCAGGTTTACCCAGTTGTGGCAGAGGTCAGTTGGTTCTCACCTGTCTTCAGTTAATATTCTGGGTGTGGTTTTATTGCATTTGAATTGATTAGCCTGCTAGCATCTAAAGTTAGCATAGTGTGTCACTTCTCCCTTTGGAAATCATATAAAATGTACCTATATTTAAATGTGAATGATTTAATACTGCCAGTATTACATAAAATAATCAAATTAATAGTTGGCAAATTGGAATTATTAGTGATATAATTTCGGATGCTGTCTTTTTGTCTTTGGCATTTATAACATTTCCTGGATAACAGATGATCATTAAATATCTTCTCTTTGATAGCGGTCTTCCCCCGACGTCAAGGCAGAGATGTTTGAGTTGCTATACCAAATACTTCACCAAAACTGGAGATACTTCTTTAAAACTTCAGTCTTAACAAGTGTCCAGAGAGGAGCTGCTGAAGATACCATGGAAAATGAGGCCCAGTTCACAGCTGCCATGCAGGTGTGTGTAAACATGTAGCTAAAGTTGTCACTATATACCTTTTTGGTAGATGATAGTTATTGTTTAATGTATCGCCACTTCTTTTCCTGACGTGCTGAAATATCTTTTCCAGGCTTTCGGACAGTCTTTCCTGCAGCCTGACATCCACATCTTCAAGCAAAATCTCTCCTATTTGGAGTCCCTCAACAGCAAGCACAAGTTGTATCACAGAGTAAGATGAGCTTTTGTGTCAGTGTTTTTGCTTTTAGAGATGAAGGTTGTCATGGAGCAGAGTTTCACTGATTCTCCTTGTCTGTCCTGCACAAAATATCAGGCAGAATTAAACTTAACTCTTTTATAATATATTTGATAAAAAAGGATTACATGTTTTCTTAAGACGTGTCCCCTCATTCACCCACTGTGATTGAGAGCCGCAGTGACTCATTGTCCTTATTTTGTTTTTATTGTGCTTTAGAAGCTTTTCCGGACCTCGATGCTCCTCCACTTCATCAACGTGCTGCTGCAGGTCCTTCTCCACAAAAGTCACGACCTTCTGCAGGAGGAAATCACTGTTGCTATTTATAACATGGCCTCTGTCGACTTCGATGCCTTCTACTCGGCCTTCATGCCGGAGTTCCTCAATGGCTGCCAGGGTGTGGACACCAGCCAACGAGCTGTTCTCGCACGCAACTTCAAGCTTGAGCGGGTAAGATTTAAATTTTTCATTGACATTGCTTCTCCTCCCTCCTTGTGAGCTATTCTCTACCTTATGGGTAACCATGGTAATGCATTTCGCAGGCTGTTGGCTCATATAGTACTTTGCATTAGACCAGAACAGAGTAAACCAACTGTCACGTATATGATGTAGCAAGACAGCTGCTTTCTCTACAACAGCTGCCAAATATGACAATAATCTGAAAAAGATTTCTCACTCAACCTCAGCCATGCAGATAGTTTAGTATTATTTCTCCGAGCTTTGATACATTGCATCCCAGACACATTGCATGTGTGAGCAGTGTGTGTGCTTTGCAGAAACTCTTTCTTTCATTGCGCCGCCCATGTTAACAGCCCACGTGAGAAGCATGGCTTCACTATAGAGTAGAGGTCTCACCTATTTTTTCCCATGAGACGTGCGGTTCTCAGCTAAAATAGACATCTGTTCATAGTTATATAAACATCATACCAGCAACATATAGACTGTTAACTACACTTTCAATTTCTATATCTGTAGCTGTCACAGACATGAAAACTATATAAATATCTTTTTTAACACCTCTGTCTAGCTTTTCTGTGGACAGAACTCATTCGTTTGATAACAAGGCTTTTATTGTATGGTATTTATTAAAGGTAGTAGAATGTAGAAACAGAGCTAAGCAGCACACCACAGGCTTACGAGCCGCAACAGTTCGGCGAGGTAGTGTGTCCCGTGCGTTAGATTTCCACTCCCAATAACATTTTAAAATATGTAATTATTAGTTGTCCAGTGTGTTGTCAGTAATCCACAGAACACACTGTGAAGATTTTATTTGGGACTATTAAACTGTTCAGTGAGTGTTCTGTAGATATTACACTTTCCGTATTGCCCCCTAACACCAGTATGTTTGTATTTGCCTGTTATTTTGAGTGTTGTTTTTTTTCCCCTGCAATTGAACCTCTGTCAACTCCTGTCTCTTCTGGAGAATTAATATTACTGTTCAACTTTTCTTTTCTTTGTCAAGGACTTGCCTTCATTCACTCAAAGCGTGCAGCGGCTGGTGAATGACCTTCGCTACTACAGACTGTGTAATAGTAGTCTGCCCACTGGCACCATCAAGCTATAGCACAACGACTGCTTGAACCACTCCACACATCAACTATGATCAAGGACTGCCTGTGCTGACCACTTTGCCCAACACTCCTTCTCCAATTCAGCTTTGGTCCACCTATTTGAAGTAATAGGAAGGAACAACATGCATTGTTTGGTTGAGTAATTGGAGGTTGAGGATGCTGCTGATTTTTCTCTTTGATTTCTACTGTAGAAGGTTGGCGCATAATTATTTTTTAAAAAGCAGCGCCCTCCTTACGTGTTGCCAATGATAATTTGGCAAGAAATGTAAACCTGGTCTGCAGTTGGCTTTTGCCCAGACCGGGAGCAGTCTGAGCCAGGCCTTCTTTCCCACGCCTCCGCAGTTAAGCTGGGCCGGGACTGAGCACTTTCAACTCATTTTGAGTTTTTAAAATGTCTGCTTTTATTCATTTTGCCTTCATTTTTTTTTTCATCTCCAAAGGAGACAGACTCTCAACTTAAGATCTTTCATATCATTCCATTCTGAAAAAGAGAACCTGCTTGATTAATAAAGTGCTTTTTTAGTAAAACTCAGGTATTTGTGATTTCATGATTTTATTGGTCTATGTGCTCTTGTAATGTTGTTTAGTATTGTTTGTGATAATAATGGTTAAACTAAGAGATTCAAGACTTTTCTGTATGTTGTTTACACTGTTTTGCTTTTAACTTAAATTCATCAATTTCACCTGCTGAATATTGTTTTTCAGCCATGCATATTTTTAGAACGCACGCACAAATAATCAAATAGTTGTTCTGGGTCTTGACAGAGCTAATGGATAAAGCACAGCAGATTTACATTTTGAGAATTGCTAAAACCTTTAACAGAAGCATCAAGAGTCAGGTTTAATGTGTGGCATGTGACACATCACCTGACGAATAGGGTGTGTGTGTGTGTGTAAGGACGCAGCATGCGCAAGATAGGAAGCATCACCACAGGAAGAATAATTAAACAACTTCACAACTCGACACAATATGTTGCATCATCTTTTCTGTAGGTTGAACTCGCAGTGAGAACTGCAGCTTCGATAGTATCTGTTGCTGTAAATCTGTAATTTAATTTTAATGGCTACAAGGAGTAACTAATGCAACTAATGGATTTGATCGGTCAACTCCTTTAATTTGATTATACCTTGCTGCCAAATATATACTAGTTATGTCTTCAGTGTAAAAATGTAGATTCCATTTGAGATGTTAGGCTTCTATTTACAGAAGTGCATTGAAATTGAGCCTAAAATGTCTTATAATCACTTAAGATTGTCATATGTATGTGTTTGTATTTAAAGTAATTTCCACCAATTTTACATCTCAAAATTATGTACTTATTATTGGGGAGTACTTTTGAGTCTAAAAACAATTGTTGCATTCTGGGAAGTGTAGCATCCAGCGGTTTTGGACCACCAACGTTACGAAAATGTTTTATTCTGGAGCTGGAGGGCCCCTTTGTTATCTAGTCCCATGGTTATGGTGTGTATTTAACATTCAGTTTAAGGTTTGGATATTCTGTAAAACTTCGAGCATCATTCAAAGCTCTAGTTGTAGAAACGGAAGTGCAGGATGAGTGTCTGGCTCTTAAACTCACCGCCACACGTACATTGTTACATTCAGGTGGCTCCATGGAATAGATAGTGATTTACGCACAGAACTTAGTTACTTAGAGTTTATTGTTAAATCAAATTACGGAACCAGACGCACTACTCATGAAACCTTTCTGAGTTCTCGGTCAGTGCTGGATTAAACTTTATTCTGGCAACAGCAGACACTTCTGGCATCACTGGAGTTAAATGTGCTTCAGTTTGAGTGACAGCCGGGGGCAGACAGACAGGGGGATGACTCGTGAGTTTTGATTGAAGAGGGTTGACTTCTCGCTGTAGAGGCTGACAGAATACAAGTCAAAACATGGTCATGTTGCAGCGGTGCCTTTTTAAGAGAATTCAGCAGTTTTATTCAGGGAATCAAGCAAGCACTAAAAGTCTGCTGTCTGGGTTCCCCACCGCGCTGCTTCAGGGACACAGACCTGCTGTCTGCAGGAACATTTCAAGTAAGTGACTGAATTTATATTAACTGATCGGTACGGATTTTGCCTTTTCTCTGAGGAACGCTATTAAGTGATCGGACTATCTGGCGCAACATCAGGACTCAATGTTGGCTTAGAAATCGACCGATTAATTTAATAAATCTTTGTTTGAATATGTGATGCTGACATAACTCAATTTCTTGAGATTTAGATAATAAACGACTGATTAACATTATTGGCATCGAGTTTAAGAGCGCTCACCTCTGATGCGCCACCTGTATTTGTTCATTTGTTCCAAACTTTTTCTCCATTTGCGAAAACAAATTCGCTTGCCAAACTCCTGGGGTCATGAACTGGAACTAGGTTAGAGGTACAGACGATAGTGTTGATGGTGTGGGTGACCAACACAGTGACCTGCGGTTTTGCGTAATCGGGCCAAAACCTGTGCGTAATGTGTGTGTACCATGTATGACACCCTAACCATTTTCCCAGAGAGAAACTTCTATCCAGCAAGTTACCGAGTCGCTGAGTTGAGTTCCTCTCGTGGTGGGTCACGTGTGTATGTAATTGATCGCATGCAGTCATTCATTAGCTCCTAAGTGGTGTTGCAGTTGGTATTCTGTGCGCAACTACAACTAACCATCTGAACACGCATAAAATCTGATGTGCCCATTTCATTCTGCTCACAGAGGGCAGTTCACATTCAAACCTCTGTGAGTGACTTTGGGTCAGAGTATAGAAGTTGGTAGAAGTCCTGTTCTCTGTGTCCCAGCAGGTCTTCCAGATGTAAGGGAGCAGACTCTTGTAGCTGTAAAGCCAGATGGAGTTCAACGTCGTCTTGTTGGGCAGATCATTCAGCGGTTTGAGCAGCGGGGCTTTAAGTTGGTGGGCCTCAAAATGCTGCAGGTATAGAAGTCTGAAATAAATGTGTTTGTTTTATGTGCAAGTTCTCTGTATAATTTATTTTACCCTAGCATGACTCTGTTGTGAAGGTGTCCGAGGATCTCCTGTCTCAGCACTACTGTCAATTGAGGACTAAGCCCTTCTATCCCACGCTGGTGCATTACATGACCTCAGGGCCTGTAGTTGTCATGGTGAGGGTTCCTTGTAAGATACTCCTGTATCTTTTTTTTTATTTATTATTTCAACCTTTGCATAAGGTTGACAGACATGAAAGGTATGGTTTAGAAAATGCCTGTACCTAGTACTTAATGTACACAGTATTTCAGGTGCCAACCTGCTACTAAACTCAACAAGTTTGGAATATATTGTATTTTTGTGTGTATATGTTTGTCATTTTGTTTTTGTTTAGGTGTGGGAGGGCTACAAAGTAGTTGAAACATCACGTATGATGGTGGGACATACTAACCCAGCTGAGGCCCAGGCAGGCACAGTCAGAGGAGATTTCAGCATTCATGTCAGCAGGTAATGTGATGTCATTATGTGCACAGTGAGTATCAGGAATAAACAACATTATGAGCCTGCCACCATCCAGGTGTGTGATATTTCTGATTTGATTGTCAATTAACGGTGCATTTTGGTCATTTAAAGGAACGTGGTTCATGCCAGTGATTCACCAGAGGGGGCACAGAGGGAGATCCAGCTGTGGTTTCAGGGAAAGGAGCTCCTGAACTGGGACTGCTGTTACCAGACCAGTACCTGTGAGGTGTGAAGATGCTGAGAGTGGAACGCAGTGAGAATCAGTAATACTACCTCTTCTCCTGCTGCTCAAAGGTCTGTCTCTTGTGACAGTGTGACCGCAGTGATTTAAAAAGATGAGTCATATTCAGTGTTCTTACCAAGTAATTTACCTCAGTAAGTGCTCTTAGAACCACAAAGAGTTTTGTGTGTTTTTTTATACTCTAAGCTACATTAGCAACTACACACATATAAATGTATAGCTGTCTCATCTTTTCATTGAACAGCCATAATAGGAGAGGTTTGCCTGAGGTCTCAGGATGAGATGTGTGTCGTAATCATTTGTCATTCTGGCCCTTTCAGCAGATAGATACAGTATTTTATTAAACACAAATGACCCATGCAGAAATTGTTAGTGGCTCAGAACCAGATTTTCAGATTAAATATTATTTTTATAAAGTAGGTATAACATCACCCAATAAGTCCTTCTGAATAATAGGTAAAATTTGACGTGCTTGTTTATTTGAAACATTGTCGCTTTCATCAAAATCATAATGAACACTAATCTGAACATGCTGTAACAATGTAAGAACTGACTTTCACCCCCAGCAGCTGCTCTGCTGTGTGATGATACTGCATAGCTCAAGTGAATCTCAAGCTCAAGTTTTTCATCAAAGAGAGAAAAAAAAATCTGAAATGTTTTCAAAAGATTGAAATCTTTTTTTTGGCAACATAACAAAAAAACATATTTCTACAAAGCCTTGCTGAGAAGGAACAATAAAATACTCTGTATGTCCTCAAATAATTTATGTAATTATTCTACTTGACTAATCGAGTAAATGTGTTTACTTAAATCATTGAGCAATTCTCTTACCTCTTTTTGAAACCACTGTGAGGCAGAAGAAATTAAATACGAGGGTGAACAGTTTCAAGGCAAGTTCAAAACCTTGTTAGGAACTGTCTGTAATGGGAATAGTTTTGCATAGTTGAGCCTGAATCAAATAATCACTCTTCAGAACATCTGACCTCTGGTGAATGTTATTTATAAAATGTGCTGGTGCTGTCAGTGTGAAAATCTACTGAAGCTACGTGCCGTGTGCTGCTCAGCTCCGTACAATGATAATTTACCTGGTATTGAACTCTGGAATGATTCAGATTCAGTTTGTCTTCATTGGCACTTGCTTTTTCAATTCTTCTTACAGCTGTAAAAATGAGATGAGTCTGACTTGTGCACTCAGTATCAATTATAAAACTACTTATTAAGAATTCTTCAATTCATTCTTGAAATTGTTTGTCTTAATTATATAACTTTGTCTATGTCAGAAGATGTAAAGAAGGGTTGCAGTGAACTCATAGCTATGATACAAAAATACACATACTGTTTTATTCAAGCCAGTACAGTGACAGCAATGTATCCCTTATGTATCTGTATTGTACATTATGTCATGATATCACAAGATTTACAATGAAAAACACAGAATCAGAAAACATTTTAGTCTCCACAGAACAGCATAGAAGGAGTTGTGACTGAAATTGTATATATATATCAGTTTAATGTGTATTTGGTCTAAAACCCGATCTGGCTGCAACATGCGACATGTCTTAATACAGGTTGATGTGCAGGCAATAAAAACTCTGAATCGATCAAACATGTGACTGTTCTGTAGAGTCATAAACATTTTTAACAGAATGCACTTTTTTATAGCTCTAAAAAGTAGATTCAGTCCATTGTTGGTAATACATCGAACTAATAAACAGTATTTGATTTTGTTTATTGTACTGCGTGTTTGCTTATTGTCATGATATTGACTAAACAAAAAAATAATATAATAATAGAGATATTTAGAACACCACATGGTAAGAATAACTTTAGTAAACTCTGGTGAGAATTTGAATTTTAAAGCCCCTCTGTCTTAAAAACATGTAATAGTCTCAATGTCAGTAAGTACTGGTGAGTGAGCTTTACCTTAAACACAGCTTGCCTTTGTTGATAAATCTGTAGCACATAAGAGATATAACCACATGTATGATGACTCTGTGCGTCCAGCTGTGTATACTACAGTTATCTCCATTGATCCTCGATGCCACATCTGTATTAGTGGATGTTTAAATGCTCCATCACACTATGGCACCCTCTGATGTCAGGTTGATCTTCAGCTTTTGCTTCTCCATCACCGTCTCCAGTTCTGTGGCTTTGTGCACGTCCTGTAGAGGACAGAAGGCAGAAGTGTATTTTAACAGAGAAATATCAACCAAACATTGTTTTTTGGCAGACTTGAAAAAAAGCTTCCCAGAGTTTTTAGTCCATGATATATGCACCTAAATTTGAGTTCTGTCTGGTCCCATTTTAAACCAGTGTCTGTGTTGTGGAGGTTAAATTAAAACACAACCCAACCCCAAAAAGACACCCATTATGAAATTCCTTTAATACCAGACTGAGAACAAGAAGGCTCTCTAGTAACTCTAAAATCTATTCACTGCAGCTATTAACCTATGAGGTCTGAAAGAGCTAATATGCATTTTGAGTTTTGTAAATTGAAAGATAAATGATTTTTAGTCAATGTAGGTCAATGACAATGTGGTAAAATGACGTAGGTCTGTGCAAAAGCCAAGGTTGAGCAAACAACAAGCTCAGGACACATGGACCCAAACACAATCACACAAACACAAACACACATTACATCCAGAAAAAAACAGACACTGGACAAACCTCGAGAAGGGACTTCTGCACCATAATTTGGCTGTAAACTCTTGCACCTTCCTCTGGTGACACAGTGCGGAACTCGTCCTTATTCAGGGAAAAAAGCTGGGCTCCACTTAAAATGCCCAGACTCTGAACTGTCCTGACAGAAGAAGAAAGCAACAAAATTAGTGTCAGTGTCTGTTCACCTTCAGAGAGCTTTTATTGTGAGAAGTTCACTTATAACCAACAGAAGTATCTCTGAATAATCTAATGCAAAGTTAAGCTTCTCTTCTCACAAGATTCACTTCTTCATTTTCTTGTTAGACTTCATGGTGTCCCTAAATGTCCTCCTAGCTCTCTTTGTTAGTTAAAATCCAACTCCACTCAGTTTAGTTTATGTTGCAATACACAAACATTGGCAGGGAGGACATTTTGACATTTGAGGGCGCTGTTGTGCAATTAACAATATCTAAGACTGTACCTTTGAAAACTGCATATGCTGCATGTATAATGCAATTAATTTAATTAACACCCAACTGTCCAATAAGCACCCACATACAACTCACTGACTCACTTTAAATATTGTAGAGTCAATAATGCTCCTGAATCTTTTTCATTTAGTATAATATTAAAGCCCTTCATCAAATTAAAACCATAGAGGGATTTGTTTAGGCACACAACCAGTGTTTGACATGTTAGACATGAGTTAAATTTGATATTGTTAGTGGATCTTGAGGCTCTGCAAACCCTAACCCTTATTCTCAATCAGCTCTTTGAAAACAGTGTGAGCTGGTGTTTCCTCCATCAGTGCACACTCACTGCTGACTGAAGCCCTTGGTGGTGAGCCAGGCCTCCACCTCGGCAGCCGGTGAGTGGTAGTTCAGGGGGGCAGAAGTGTCAGCTGAACGGGGGACCACCAGCGGATGGATTGAGCCTCTTTTCCCAGCCAGCCGCTGAAGAAGCTCATCATTCATTATCATGACTACACAATACACACAAAACCAAGTGGTCAAAGTGTGCTCAACCTTCAAGGTTGTTTTGCATTTACATGTACATAAATGTTCATGGAAGATGTCAACAAAATGTCTACAGACTGATATTTCTGCTCTATTTGTTTTTAGTTTCATAGAATTCAGTATAGAATACGTATAGTATATTATAGAGTACATTACCATAGCTCCAGACCATTTATACAAGGGTATACAGCGAAATACAGGAAAACCTACTACTGGTTTTCCTGTATTTCTCGGTGATATGATATGAATGGTCAGTACATTTGATGATTCAGACCTTTGTACACTAATAACAAAAGAGCTAAATTACTGGATCATTTTAACAAAAAGACTATTTCATCAAATACATGTCCATGTTGCATGGTGTACAATGGAGCTACACAGGATCTAAGGAGCCAGGCAGTGGAAGCATGGGACTCAGCTTCTTTCTCTTAGAAGCTGATGCACAAAAGGCAGGTGGGGCATCTTAAAAATAGCTGTCTGTCTATTGGAGACAGGACTTTAATCGCATGTATGTGACCAATGAGAAACTGATACTGCAGATAGGCCTGTATACTGAAATATTACACAATATACATACACCAAAGCACTGTAGTGTGTTGGTACGAAAAGAATGACTTTACCAAATATGTATGTGTTGACTCAACAATTTTATGGTCTTCATTTATTTATTTGTTTATTTGCTCAGCTTTTACTAAGTTGCCGTGTCTCTGGTTGTGTTGATGGGTTGCAGGTTAAGAAGATGAACACAACAAGCTCCTGGGATCCAATATGTTTGTGAAATCACTAGATATTCTAACAGGCCCCCTTTGTGATTTACCATCGCTGATAATAATAAGATAATAGGTACGTTACCTCGGTCACTGTCATCTCCCTGCATTACTGTAGATGGTAAAACCATGCTCTGTGGTCGCAATGGTCTTGTATGTGTGGAACTGGTTGCATCTGGACTTGGTGGAGCATATGAGAAGTACTTTGTCCGAGGGAAAAGGGCTGTCTTCTGTTGTGGAAAAGCAGAAATGAATTAAAAACTGCAAGACGGCATTAAAATGTTTGGAGCACTGACACAAACAACAACATTGTGTCTGTACTGTACCTTTGACTCTCTGCGTACCACTGGGCTGTCTCTCCCAGTGTTATTAAGAGCAGACAGAGGCTCCAGGATATTAAAGGGAACAAATCCTATCTGGTCAAACCGATTCCGACACTTCCACCATCGCTTTGATGACTCAATTACCTGGAAAAAGATGACAAATAAGTTTTGCAACATATCCCTAGAATATGTCTTCTTCTACAGGTAGGTCACCACCTCTAAGTCTAATTATGGGTGTGTACCTCTAGTGTTTCTCCTTGTAGCACAGAGAGTTCACTGCTGTTTCTAGCCACAAAGTCATAGCTGCAGCAGTAAAGTCTCTCACCTTCTGGTGGGAGCCAGTTTTCTTTTCTGAAATAGATTTAAAAACAAATATAACAAAGCAGAGTAACACACCAGTAATCTAGAGATCCTCCAGACAGATTTTATAAGGCATTACACTAATTGCAACTATTAGGAATGTTGCTAGCATTGTCACTCCTGCTGGCTTACGCTTCAGCTGTGCCTTCACCATGGCCCTGCCCTGTCTGTCGAGCATGGTCCTGTTGAGTCTGTGCTGCCCTTCTTTCCCTGACGTCTTGTTTGTGCTGCAACTCGATGGGATCTTCCCAAGGCTGGCCAGTTGAGTCATAGGCCGGAAGCTGCCATCCATCCAGGAAGACAGGTGAGTATGGAGGAACAGACACACTAAGTTGTGAACTGGGAAAGAGGACAGGATTTTGTTAGAGCAAGATGACACACTCTCAAACCAAGATTTACACACACACACACACACACACACACACACATACATAAACATAAACACACAGACCAGGGTGAAATCCAGTTGGGCCCTAATGAAGTCCACAACTCCTTTTCCTCTTCAGTCAGATGCTCGTGCAGCAGTGAAACAGCACCACTGGTCATAGCAGGACTGACCACCGACGCACCCAACAATGGCCCTCCGGTGGTTTTTACCAACTGTGAAAGTAAGAATCACCACAGTCAGTATCACACAGAGAGAGAGAGAGAGATAAAGAGAGAGACTACTAAATGAAACATTAGAAAGACCCACCAGTTTAAGAGGAACAAAGATGGAATGCAGCAGCTCTGGTGCGTCAGGCTGTGCGATGGATGACTTGAGACGGTCCTAAATGAACCAGCATAATGTCATTCACATTTTTACTAACAGTAGTTTTATCAAAATGTACTATGAGTTACTCAATGCTCAATTATGACTAGTGTAATCTCACCAGCAGACTGAAGGAGTACTTGATTTTCTGAAAGAGGTCCACAAATTCTTCCTCTGATGGAGGGCAAGCTTTCATGGTCAACAAATCATCTGCACACGGAGAAGCACAATGATAGCCACAACCAAAACAAGGTAACATGATATGAAACACACACACACAACCACACCATGATCACTGTTGTTATTATATATGCATTGATTTGATTGATTGATTGATTGATTGATTGGCTGATTGAACTTGATATACATTTGTGTCAGTAAGCTATAGTTATCTAGAACAATTTGCAATGTAAATAGCATGTTTCTAACACAATCTGTGGGAAAATACAAGAATTATAAACATCAAGGTAAAACAACATCTGTAACTAAAGGAGTGGAGTTCTTGTTCTAGCTTGTTCCAGCAAGAACTCCTATAAAACAACTGCAGTGGTAGTGACTAATCTAATCCTGTCTTCTGTTTCATTATTAATACAATCATACAGTCATTGCCTTGGGTCTTATCTAGGGTCACACCTATCCCAGCACACACTGGCCAGAAACCTGGTCAACACCCTGGTGATGTTGCCAAGACAACCCACGGCAAAGACAGATAGACACAAACACTGAAACTCCTGTTCACACCTACTGGCAATTTATAGTGTGCAAACACGAGGAAACAGCAGGTAACAACAAAAAGATCAAGGTTGGGGACAAAACCTCCCTACTGCTTCTTCTACTGATCTTAACATCAAATCTCATTGATCTTCAAACAGGATGCAAACCAGACATTAATAATATTTTCATCATGTTCATATCATGCCAGTACCAGTGGATAGCCACTTAATGCCAGGTCCATTGTCAAACAGAACTGTTGGTGCATTAATCTTCCTGGATTGAGTTGACCTGAGCTTCAGTAGCTTCTTTGTCATGTTTCTTGGTCGCTCACTAGAGGCAAGAATTTTAAGAATTACCTGAAAGGATTCTTTGGCAACCAGCCAGTTGACCTGCTTCCAGTTTGTGAATCAGTGTGCCAGTATTCAACCTTTGTCTCCAGTTCCCTGCCTCTACTCTTCTTCTGCAACCTAACAGAGGCATTCACCAAACTCCCAAGACTCATCTGCAGTCATCAAGCTTGTCAGACCTCTGCCACCAGCTGATCGACAGTCCTTCATACTTTAATCACACCTTAAACATAACACCGGACTACAGTGCTTATTGTTATTTGGGTCTGTTTCAGAAGACTCTGCCAGGTTAGTATTTTTACATGCAAACTGTTTTTTACCTTGATCATCCCAGTTAAACTTTGACTGCAGCAATTAGTATATTGGATGGAAGAAGAACTTACCATCTTGGTTCTCCTTTTTCTTTTTACTTCTTTTCTTCTTCCTCCTTTGGTTAAGAACACTCTGGGCCTCAGCTGTCTGCTGCAAGCGTGCCATGAATCGTTCCACATCATCAAAGCAGTGGTTCAGAATCTCCTGATGAAGACATGCACTGTATATTTCAGCCATTTACCAGAGCAACTTACAGTCAGTGTTTCGATATTTAAACAGTTTATATTACTGTTAATTCATTAGGGTCATTAGTGAGTCAAAAAACATATAAGGAGTTGAAACTAACCAAATGCAGTATTCTAACACGCTACCAATGCAATAGCCCTGCAATACATTTATTTATAATGCTTATGATGTTTAATATTTGAGACTGTATTAAAGATTATAATGGAGTTGAAGTAACACCTGGAACTGTCACAATAAACAAATCCTGAACATTATAACCATCACTGGATAGAAATTACTGCAGGGCTGCAGATTGTAACTATTGGTCACATAGGTGAAGTCAACTCAAACTTCAAAAAACTAGCCTCTTTGTATACTCCTTCAGAGTATGTAAAAGGCTCTTGTTAGAGTTTAAAAAGTCAAATCCTCCTCACTACCTCTCTCTATAGTCATACTGACTCTTGTTTTAACGTGGCCATGTAGGGACACTAGTAGTTGGTGGTTAATTGTAATATCAGTAAACACAAGTAAACTAAAAGTCTAAAATAAGTGAAAGAATGATTTTTTTTCTTTTTCTTTTTTTATCTTTTATGTTATTCTATGACTTTGAGCATCTTTTTCTATTTGTGTAGCATAAAGGAACTACAAACTTCCATTTTGTCATACAGCCTTGTGTTGTTTAATGATTAATACATTTCCATGATTCTTTGAAATGGTGGAGAGGGAAGAAGGAGGGACATCATGCAGCAAAGGGCCACAGGTTGGAAACCAACCCAGACCGCTGTGGTAAGGACTCAGCTCACATGACGTGAGCCAGGCCCCACCTTAAATAATGTGTTAATTTTGTATAAATTAACATCCTGTACATTTATTTATTTATTTTTATATTCTGAGCAAAATATGCATGGAAGATTTCACATTAACATATATTAATGTCTTCTATTTATTAAAAAAATTAATTAATTAAAATTAAAATACTATATATATACTATATAGTATTCACCTCACCATCACAGCTGTTATGACTTCTCTCATGTGTAATTTAGAGAATGTGGCTTACTGACTCGACTTGATGGGACCACATACTAATGTTCAGGTTGCCATCTCCTTTGGCTTTAAGATCTTATTGATTATTTGTAAGCTTTATTCATCAACCCATTGAACCAGATATATGCACGTATACAATATAGAATAGAATATAGAATATCTAAATTATTTGTGCGAGCACATACCACTTCTTTCTCTGCATTCAGTAGAGATGTATGATTTGACACCTCGCTGACACCATTCTCTGAGCAGAGGAAGAACAAAGCCATTAAAGCAGACACACAAAAACAGGTCAGTTGCAAGCAGCAGGATAACATGTGCAACACATTCTCACACATATAAATACACATTAGGTCAATATACCTTTGCTAGAATGTGAGTAGATGGGCAGCCCACCAGGAGGAGGCTGCTCTCCTGGAGTTATCATGACTCGGACACCTGAATACCTCCTAGGGACCACCGGAGGTGGGGAAGACATCTGTTGTGTGTGGATGCAAAGTAAAATCAAACATATCCATACAGTAGGGGATAGTAGAAGTATAATAAACATTTTTCTTTCTAAATGTTTACTGGTTGATCACCTTTTGTGTGATGTTTGTAACTCCTCATTTCCTTTTCCTTGGACAATGTTGTATTAGCCCTCTATACTTTATCTCATGTTGCTTGATTTTAAATTTCCTAGCTGCACAGTGAAGATCATGTTCAAGATTTTTATCAACTTAACCCAACCGATCAAAACAAGCTTATCTTAGCTTCGTGTGAATATCCTAAAAAATTATGAATGAGAGCTCGATATTGTCACATTCCCCAAAATGGTTGTAAGAATGCTGAGTATTCAGTGTGCACACTGTGTGACGAATACACACGACAGGAAAAACCACTGTCACCAGATACCAGTACGGTATGCAGGTGACACAACTACCAAAACTGGATAAAGAAACTGCGCCAACTGAATATGAAGATCAGTTCATCACAAGTCTGTGCAATGTAAACACAGTATAGCTTTTTACTTCATCTCTTTTCCTCTGCTTCCTGCCTTTCCTGTGTCATCCGTCCTCTTCCAACATATTGGTGAATCGGTGAATTAAATATTTAAAGCTTTAACAGTTTATGCACAAACAAAGCTTGTCATGCATTTACAAACTGTAAAATATTCTAATCTGTGGTTAAAGGGAAGCTGCTTCAAAATTCCCCTCTGAGCAACACATTACTGACATAATATGAAAAAGCAGCTGCCCTTCTTTAACCCTCTGTCAAACACACACACACACACACACTGTTTGCACAAAGTTAACACTTAAAATCTTTAAACATCACTGTACCTTTAGTGCGTGTTTGAATCCGTAGCACAGACACCAATCCTCATGCTGAGCTGTACGTGCACTGAGCTTAGCTGTTTACATGAGGACGTCCTACCTTCTTGAGATATGCAGAAACGAGAAAAACTAGTCTGGCTTTCTTTTACAGTTAATCTGTGCTGCTTTCACTCTCCTCTGACTCTGATACACACGCACACACGCTCCCTCCCTCCCATTCTAAATCTTTGTGTAGCCTCTCCTTCCTTGTGACAGACACTTCCATCAACAATTGCCTATGGCTTGTGCCAAGGTGCTAATGTGATCTGAAGCACATGCCATTCGAGAAATGTAATGCAGTCTTCCTCAAACACCCCTCCTCCATAAATTAAGACACCAAGTTTCGTTTAAAATTATAACATTGAAGCCAAAGCCAAGATAAGGCTCAGAGGTGAATAAAGTTCATGAAAAGTTCAAATTCAGAAATATGAATAAAAATAAATTAATGTTTTAAATGAAATTGAATTGGATTGGATTTTTCCTCAAAGGAGAAAATGTATAAGTTAATTTGTCTTAACTCATTTGATTTTAACATTCCTTCCTATGAGGACGTCCCTTTATGGCTATAAAACAACCTGCCTATTATTTCATAATAAATTAGCCATTTTGTTTTGTACTGTACTGGCCTCTCCTTTAAAGAGAGTCTAAGGGAAATCAAAGGAGACTGTGTAACCTTTAAACATTTAATCTACTTAAAATCTGTGAATGAAATGTTGGAAATAAAAAAAAATTATTGGTAGAAAGTAAAGATACAATTATTTCAGAAAATAACAGGGAACAAATCTGTTTAGGCTCTTCAAGAATATCCAAATATTGACTGTGAACAATAAGTATGTTTACAACAACAGGAAGTCAATTTATAATACAAGATAAATATAACAAAAATGAAATGATAGGTGAGAATGTGTGGGAAAAGATAAAACATTGAATATCTGGTTTCTGATAAAGAGCAGCTGGCTTCAGTAATCTTCAGCAGTTTGACAGATGTTGAATAAATCATCAGACAGAGGACAAACAAAGAGGCATTGAGAACACATTTAAGTTAGGATGGCGTCTTTATCATTAATACTGTAGGTAAAATACTCTTGGATACAAGCATTTAAAGCAGGCATAGGGACAAGCGCTGGAGAAAACTGAGCTGTTGGTGAACAGTGACACCATGTGGTTGTGACAGGTCGGTCTCAACCCGTGCCTGAAGCTCTCCTCCTGTTTGACTGGAAACTGTAAACAGGCGTTCAAACTGAAAATCAAAGAGTTGATGGTGTGTGTCATGATTTCAGTAGGTTGTTCCAAAAAGCCTCTTGTTTTGGCATACTTAAACTATGAAGACCATACCACTGTTAACACTGCACTATCAGCAGTTAGTATCAAATCTATTAATTTCTATACTGTTTTATAATAACAGGACAATATCAGAGACAAAGGCCTCGATCTTGTCTTGACTTTGTGACATTTTGGACAGCATAAATAACAAACTGGTGGGGTTTGGGTGTGTTTGTATAGCCTCTTCCTGTTATGGTTCAGTTGTCTTCATTTGTAGGCCAGCTGCTCCACTGCTTGGAGGATCCAGTGTTGACTGTATATAATATGAACAGACAATTATCTCTGCTGCCTATCTAGACTGAATCAAAGCCAGACAACTCCAGCAGGTTCTTGGACAAATGAGTCAAGTAAAGTGCTGAAATGACATTTCTCCTACGTTTAAATTAATCTAAAAGAGTAATTTTGCATGTATTACTGCTGATATGATACACATAACTTTAAGCAACGACAGGTCTTATCTCAGCCTGAGAGCTTTTCATCTGATCTCCACTCAACTTTGGATTTACTGTCCCGAGGTGAGCCTTGCATTCATTCCAAGCTTTGACTTGTGGAAGGACACTTGTAATCTGCATCCCAACAGCAGAGGGAGGCTGTCCCAGTAACATACACAGGAGGAAATCCCCCACAAATGTGCCCTTTTCAAATGGCAGTTCAAACATTTTTCTCATTACAGGCTGCCTGTATCATCTGGATATGCCCTAAATATTACAAAATCAGGCAGAAATATACACATTTATCCTGTTTATCTCCCGCAAAAAACTGGTCTGCGACCGCAATATCACAGGACCCATAAGCTACAATGCATACATATGTGAACTCCTGAATTCATTCATTTGTGCTATTTAGGTTCATATGGCACATTTCTTCCACCAGGGGGAATGGACCTTTTCTAACAGGTGGCTGAGAACAGTAACAGGGCATATAGGGGTGAGAATTTACCACTATTTTAGCTCAGCGGAGGGACCACAGTTGTTTATGCCAGTGGTTATTTAATGAGCCAATATAACTTTATTTTTTATTTTTTGCCACATCTTTACATTAAGGCATATGAATCTGGAATCGGAATTAGTTCATTATCTTGTTTTGTGAATTAGCTGGTCTCACATCCCTCTGAACTGTGTTTTCCTTCAGTTTCTGTTACAGAATGCAGCAACAATCAGTGCTGTCAGTTGCTTGAGCTGATGGGAGTCATTTTAGGGCTTTAATTGGGAGTTATTGGGCGCTCATTAGGCGCAGACAGTTTGCGCATTTTTATTCTGCGCTCTGTGGTGGAGCCTACTTATTGCATGAATACATTCGCAATTATCATTGTCGGCTTGCTTTTAAAAAGTCTGCAAACTAAATGCAATGTATAGAGCAGTGGCCCAAGTAAGGACACAAGTTCTCTTTTGTGTTTTTGTGTGTTTTTGTGTGTGTGTGTGTGTGTGTGTGAGACGCGCACAGGAACCTCCAGCAGTTTGCACTCTTGTAGTCCAACCCCGCTGAGCGCTTTGGGGAAGGGCCGTTCAGCCCCCTCATCCTCCCCATTGGCTCAAGCTGCACTAACTTTCTTCACGTCTGCTCCGGTTGGCGACTACGGACAGTTTGTTCCAACACTAAAACGTGGCCACAAGTTGTCAAAACTACCCCGTCGAGACTTTTCTCCCTCCTTGCGCGCCCTGTTTGTGAGCACGACTGATATCAAAAGCCCAGCGAGGAGGAAGAGTTTAAAAGTTGCCTTGGCAGAAAGGGACGAAGAGGGAGCGAGCAGAGACACCAACACCAGGACTGGAAACTTTACTCCTCTCTTGGACCGTGCAGTCAGCATGGTATGTGCACAACATTAAACAGCATTAAACTGCACTTTAATAACGGGGCTTCATGAGCTCTGGTGACTAATTGCTTTTAAGGTTCACTCTTTGTTTTTACTGACCTGTCATTTTCTCTTTTCTTGTGACTTACAGTTTGTTGTCTTACCGCTAACAACCAGATTCCTTTGTCCGTTACTCAGTCAGTCCTGATGACTGCGGTCTGCCTCACTTCGGGTAATCTCCACCACTGCAGCTGAGTTTCTGTGCATTGGTTACCAGGAATACCCCTGCTGTTCACTGTGCTCGGGGATATGTTTTAACTCCCATAACAACTGTCAGTGTATCTGCACAGGAAGGTTTCTGTACTCTAAACTATTCTATAATTTATTCATTTTTAGGCATTGAATTGAATTTCTACACATTGAATCTGATGTGGATGTAAATCTGAAAGGCAGCACTTTGACTTAATACGCATAATCACTGTTTGATTTTCAATCACACATGATGGAGTACAGAACCCACACACCAGTTACCATCATCTGTCTGCAAACTGTAGCCTATTTGTTTTTGACATGTGTATATAGTGAGACAGACTGCTTGTCAAGGTATTTTTCCATGATCTCCTATAGGCAATAAGCTATACACAGAAGGGGTAAAAATTAGTGAGTGTGCTCATGATTGATGGCTACACAGGTTATGCAATACCATGTGTGTGTGTGTGTGTGTGTGTGTGTGTTTGTTTGGCAGTGGGGTGTGGGGTCGGCTCCACAGGGATTTTGGGCCCCATGAAAATATATCACATTGGGCCCCACCATACACACTGTGCATATGTGTGTGAATGTTTTGGGAAGCGGATCTTATTCGTGTGTTTGCGAGTGTATGCCTGTGCAGGATGTTGGCCCTTTTCCTTTCATTAAATATATGCCGAGATAAAATTCCAACCCTGAAACATGGCGAGGCAGGTAGAGAAAGTGACCAAATAAACTTGAGTGATCTCTGTTTGTTTGAACATTGGATTATAGCTGATAGTTCTACATCACCTTGATGCTGTTGTGCTACAGCCGTGATTTACTTGACAGCAGAATGCCTTGTTTGCCTCTTTAAGTTCTTTGTAGGTGATCCTCAAGATTATTTTCTTATAGTTTGTGATTGCCCTCGTGTTGACAGTCATTTGTGTAACGGTTTGCACAAGGCGGATGTCAACACTGGAATAGATCTTGTGTTACTAATTTTAAGTACTGACACAACAACATTATTAAGGTTGACAAGACGTTGCAGGTTTTGTGACCTGATCTTCGTCTTGTGGCAGCTGGCTTGAATGAGAGTTGAAAATTGAATGAAAGCCAAGATGGAAGCCTTACAGACAGGTTACTAGGTCCTGAGTAGGCAGATTGCCAAAGAGACTTGACTCTGGCTCCTTCTCAAACATGATGTCAACATGCAAAACTGCATGTGTGAAAGGGGCTTTATTCTGCCTGTTTGTGGAGGGTTAGGGTGTCTGCAGACACAGACACGTGTCTGTCATGCTGGTTTAGGCATTCATCCTCATAAACATACTGAGTATGTGTGACATGTGTGCCACTTTATCATTAAATGTGCAAACTGATCTTCTATCAATCTCTTGTTCAATGGTTTCTGTAATGGACACGCTGAATGAATTATATAAACATTAGGCAAAAAGTATTTTGGTTAATTGTAGTGGCACAATCCCAAAGACAAAAAGAAATAGCATATCCCAGAGTCCCACAGTAATATGTTCTACAGTTTAAGTACGTATCCAACTAGAGGCTGATCATGGCATTTTTAATATAGGCTGCAAAAGAAAAAACCCTAACTGTCTGAGGAACCTGTGTTTATGGATCTCCAGATATCTATAAGTCTCTCCACAGTAAAATACATTTGACTACAC